AGTTGATGACGAGGATGCTGCCCTAATCCTGCTGGTTTCTTTGCCGAGTTCATATGAGAATTTCGTTGATTCTTTTATTGCTGGTAAAGAAAGCGTGTCGTTGGAGGATGTCAGGTCTGCTCTTCATACGAGAGAGATCAGACATAAGGCGTCCGGATCTGGTACAGGTGGTGAGGCATCGGGTTTGGCTGTTACAGGTGGAAAGGGAAAGAAGAAATCTGGTAAAGGGAATTCGAGCAAGAATTCCAAGGGTCCCGGTCCACAGCCAGGTGATGCTTGTCACAACTGTAAGGAAGTGGGGCATTGGAAGTACAACTGTCCCAAGAGAAGAGGGCAACAGAAGAAACAAGGTTCAGTTGCCGTGGCAGAAGTGGACAACAGTTCTGAAGACGATCTCGCCTTGGCTGTAGATGAGAAGGCACATCGTGGTGATGTGTGTTTTCTGGATACTGCAGCCTCATATCATATGTCTCCGAACAGGGATTGCTTCACAACCTACGAGCAGATAGATGGTGGTAACGTGGTCATGGCAAATGGAGCTGTCTGCAAGGTTGTTGGAATCGGGTCCATAGAGGTTCGGACACATGATGGTTCGTTCTGTACCGTGAATGATGTCAGACATGTTCCACGAATGACGAAGAACCTGATCTCCTTGAGTCTACTCGACAACAAGGGTTTCAGTTTCAAAGGAAAAGGTGGAGTTGTGTATGTCTGCAAGGGTTCGAGGAAGGTACTGAAGGGCGTGAAGCGTGGGACCTTGTATGCATTACAAGGGTCTGTGTTGTCTGGTTCTGCTGCAGTTGCATCGTCTCAGGTTCAACAGGAAGATATGACCACTCTCTGGCACATGAGACTGGGGCATATGAGTGAACGGGGGATGCAAGTTCTATCGAAGAGGGATCTTCTTTGCGGACACAAGATGCAGAATTTGGAATTCTGTGAGCATTGTGTGTTTGGGAAGCTACATCGCAGCAAGTTTCCCAAGAAGGATATCCACCGGACGAAGGGGATACTGGATTACCTCCACTCCGACTGTTGGGGTCCTTCACGAGTTGAATCCATTGGAGGCAGCAGGTATTTTCTGTCTATTATTGATGATTATTCGAGATTTACTTGGATTTTCATGATGAAGCAGAAAAGTGAGGCTTTCACGAAGTTCAAGCAGTGGAAGACATTGGTGGAGAATCAGACCGGGAAGAAGATCAAGAAGCTGCGAACGGACAATGGTCTGGAGTTCTGCAGTTCTGAGTTCAACGAATTCTGCAAGGATGAAGGGATTGCCCGTCATCGGACTGTTAGAGATACACCTCAGCAGAATGGCGTTGCAGAACGAATGAACCAGACATTGTTGGAGAGAGCACGGTGCATGCTCTCTAATGCTGGACTAGAGAGAAGATTCTGGGCAGAAGCAGTAAACATGGCGTGCTTCCTGATCAACCGTGGACCTCACACAGGTATCGAGTGTAAGACTCCTTATGAAGTGTGGTATGGCAAGCCTGCTGATTACTCTTCACTGAAAGTGTTTGGGTGTCCTGTTTATTATCATGTGGATGAGGGTAAACTGAACCCAAGGGCAAAGAAGGGTGTATTTGTGGGTTACGGAGATGGAGTTAAGGGATTTCGAGTCTGGTCACCTTCTGAGCATCGAGTTATACTTAGTAGAAATGTGATATTTGATGAGAAGTCTATGTTTAACCCCATGTTGAAGGTTACTGTTGTTCAAGGTAGCAGGAATGTTGATAAACAGGTGGAGCTGCAAACTCTCAATGAGAGTGAGTTTGAGCACCAAGGTGGAGAAGATCAACATGATGAGGATGTCTCTGCAGAGCCAGAAACTTCAGAGTCCAGTGCACGAGCTCAACAGTCTATTACTTCCGGTAGACCAAATAGAGCGACTGCAGGAGTACCTCCACAGAGGTATGGCTTCGAGGACATGGTGGCGTATTCATTTCAGGTTGCTGAGGAAGTGGATGCAGGAGAGCCACAGTCCTATAGAGAAGCAGTTTCGGGTGGTGAAGCCGATCAGTGGCTTGCCGCAATGGGAGATGAGATGGAATCCCATGACAGGAATCAGACTTGGGAGCTAGTCAAACGACCACAGGGAAGGAAGATTGTTACAAACAAGTGGATCTACAAGAAGAAGGAAGGAATCACTTCCAAAGAGGGCATGAAATTTAAAGCTCGGGTGGTTGCACGAGGCTTCTCGCAGAGGGAAGGAGTTGACTACAATGAGATTTTCTCACCAGTGGTCAGACATACTTCGATCAGAGTGCTACTAGCAATAGTGGCACATTATGACTTGGAGCTTGAGCAGCTAGACGTGAAGACAGCTTTCCTACATGGAGAGTTGGAGGAAGAAATTTACATGACTCAGCCAGAAGGATTCGAGGTTCCGGGAAAAGAAGACTATGTTTGTAAGCTGAAGAAGTCCTTGTATGGACTTAAGCAATCTCCGAGGCAGTGGTACAAGAGATTTGACAGTTACATGCTTGAGCTGGGCTACAACAGAAGTCCATATGATTGTTGTGTGTATCACAACAAGGCAGAGGATGGTTCGATGATATATCTAGTTCTGTATGTGGATGATATGCTCATAGCTGCAAGGTCGAAGTCTGATATCCAGAAGTTAAAGGGGCTTCTCAGTGCTGAGTTTGAGATGAAGGATTTGGGAGCTGCTCAGAAGATCTTGGGTATGGAGATTTACAGGGACAGGTCGAAGAAGAAGCTTTTCTTGTCACAGAAGAGCTACATCCAGAAGATACTGTCGAGGTTTGGCATGTCTTCAGCAAAGCCCTTAAATACTCCTAGTGCTTCAAATGTTCATCTATCCTCGGCTTATGCACCGCAGTCAGAGGCTGAGAAGGAGTACATGTCGAGAGTCCCATATGCTAGTGCAGTAGGTAGCTTGATGTACGCTATGGTATGCACTAGACCTGATCTTGCACATGCTGTTAGTGTTGTTAGCAGGTTTATGATACAACCTGGGAAGGAGCATTGGCAGGCTGTGAAGAGGATCTTCCGGTACCTTAAGGGTACACCTGATGTGGGGATTAGCTTCGGAAGTGATACAGAGTGCTTGGTGTCTGGGTATTCTGACTCGGACTATGCTGGAGATGTTGACACGAGGAGATCGATGACTGGTTATGTATTCACTCTTGGGAGTTCTGTAGTGAGCTGGAAGGCAACTTTGCAGTCGGCGGTGACATTGTCTACTACTGAGGCAGAGTATATGGCGTTGACAGAAGCTGCTAAGGAGGGAATATGGTTGAAGGGACTGGTTGGTGATCTTGGTCTACATCATGATCAGGCAGTGGTGTATTGCGACAGTTTGAGTGCAATATGCTTGGCCAAGGATCAAGTCCACCATGAGAGGACTAAGCACATCGATGTGAGGTATCATTTCTTGAGGACAGAGAAGAGGATTAAGGTGAAGAAGGTTGGCACCGCGGATAATCCTGCTGATATGTTCACGAAGCCGGTTCCACATGGCAAGTTCCAACACTGCTTGGACTTGCTGAATGTCTTGAGTGGGTGACTCCGCCCTGCGGGGCATTGATGGCGGGAGAGAGAGAAGGAGCAGAGTACATCAGAGATTTCAGAGGAAGAGGAT